CTCGATCGCGGTGCCGCCGATAAGCATTCCTCCGCTCTCCAGCATCTCGACGCTCATGTGCACCTCTCGAGCATCCCCACACAACCCCCCCGCCTGTCGAATCCACGAGGGCGCAGAGGAGCAGGGGCAGCACCAGCAGCGGCGGCGGCAGCGCAGGGTCGATTCGCCAGCCCGACAGACCAGGGGCGCGTCAGACGTGGGCGCTAAAAGCATCGAAAACGCTCTGCCCTGGCTGCCAATTGCTTTGCTGCTGCAGCGCCTTGCCCTGGCCGCCGCCAACTTTGCCCAGCTGATGCTGCTGCTAGGCCTCTCAGGTCACCCGACGCGCCTCGTCGGGTCGCCTCCTGGGTCGTCTTGGGTGTATTGGGGGCAGGGAACCGAGTGGACTCCAACAACCGGCGGCGAGCCCAGGGGAGAAGTGAGAGGGGGGGCAGGCCTTCTCAGAAGGCGGCGGGGCTTCTCAGAAGCCCTCGCTCCTTCGGAGAAGCCGCCTGTGGGTTCGGAGAAAATCTGACCGTGCTTCTCAGAAGGCGCGGGGGCTTCTGAGAGGACCCGCCGCGCTCTGAGAAGGCCTGCCCCCCCTCGCCCTTCTCCACCTGGGCTCGCCGCCGACCAAAACAAAATCCCCGGGAGGTTGGACGACGCCAACCGGGCACCAGCCAGGCTCGGCGAAGAGCCGCCCCGCGCGTGCCAGGCACACGCGGGAGCGCACGTCGAGCTGGTCTGGCTGCATTGCTCGTGTCGCCTCGGGAGGGCCAGGGGACAGAGCCCCAAGGGGTGCCTCCGGGGGGTCCGGCCGAACGCATATCGAGGCCATCCCGCGGAGCGCTCGTTAAAGCTGCTCTGCCAACCAAGCAACCAAGCCACCAGGCTGGGACAATTTGCGTGCGCTACTCCCCGGCGCCAGCCGTGACTGGCCAACAGTGGGCCCAAACCAGAGGGCGGACAACAGCGAGGAGAGGATCCTCCTCCTGGAAGCGGAAAAGGACGACGAGAGTAGGAAGGGAAAGGCAAGCAGCAAAACAACGAGGGCCCTTGAAAGGGGCAGGAGCTTGTTCAAGCATCTGGCCGTGGCCATCCTTGCAACATGACCCCGTTTGGTCCTCGTGGATGTGGGGAGGCAGAACGAGGATGGGGAGGACTCAGATGACAAGGGGCGTAGAAGAACAAATAACTGCATAAACATGCACTTCTGGAGGTCCGCTCGGAGCTCCAAAGGTTTATGCTTGGGCAGTTTGGGTTTTTTCGGTACAGAGGGCGCAACAAGCATGGCAGCATGTTGCCCAACGACCTTCGAGGCATCGCCCGTGGTGAGGCGGCTGCCCTCCTCCGGGCCTACGGGGATGCCCGCCCTGCCCTTTATGTCCATGGCGGCAGCGCTGCCTGCCACGGCGAGGAGCAAGCAGCAGCGCGCGGCCGACATGGCTACTAAAATTCAATGATGCAATATGGAGTTCGCCGTGAAAGTTCAGCGCGTGTGGGGCGCTCGTGTCAAACCTCAGCCAAAACATTGCAATTCACGCACGCATGCTTGCATGGTCTGCAGGCGAGCTGCATATGCCTGCACCAACGTCCACCGTGGATATACATATACGTACACACATTCCCCGAACAGTGTTTGCACTTATGGGTTCTTACTTGGGTTCTCAGGAGCTGTGGGGAGGGGAGTGTCGGTCTGGCGGCCCCGTGTTCGCCGTCGCAGCCCCGTCGCCGCCTCGTCGCCGCCCCGTCGTCACCTCGCACGTATTCTCCGTTCTTAAAAAAATATTAAGATCTACCCACACCCGGATTTAACCACCCCACCCTTTCGTTAGCAATTTACATATGATTCTGCCCCATCGCCCATCCTAAATATGAATTCATACCATTCCAGCCAAGCCGGAGTTCGGCCGACCCCCCTCATCCTCTGCAAAAAAAACACGCGCGAACACTCGTTTATCAAAAATCACACGTTTACAAAAAAACCTTGCAAAAAACGGAACGATATGCACACGCGCGCGCCGTCGCGTGCGCATGCCGGAATCCCTTAAGAATCTAAGGTTTCGTAAGGATGTCAAGACCGAGAAATACTAGGACATATAACAAAAACACGCACTGTTTCGCAACAAGGATGCTCAAACAAAACATGTGCCCGCGATCTGGCGAACTCTTAAATACACATGCTTTAGAAAAACAAGGTTTCTTCAACATGTTCATGATATGCTACCACACGGACCCCTCGCGCGCGCATGTTGCTCCAACGCGCTTGCGCGCGTGCTTCCGCAAGAATCCCTTGCCAAAAAACGACGGAGTGCACACGCGCACGTCGTCGCGCGCGCATGCCGAAATGCTTCAACAACCTTAGGTTTCGCAGCGATGTCGAAAACGAGTGCCCCGAAACATATCAAACACGCATGGTTTTGCAACGCCAGCTTTCAAATTATCCCGGCGAAAGACCCAACCATACGCAGTTGTGCATACCGCGTTGCGGGTACCAACTTCGGTGGAGCTCTCTATGGGGCCACGAACCGTGTGAGGGGTGTCCCGAAATGGCGGTGCCATGCGGACCCTGCCACTGGGGACTTCGGTGGAGCTCCCTATGCGGCCGCGAACTGTACGAGGGGCGTGCCGAAATGGGGCGTCGGCGCCATGCAGACCCTGCCACTGTGGCCTTCGGTGGAACTCCTCTATGGGGCCACGAACCGTGTGAGGCGTATGCCGAGATGGGGCGGCGGTGCCATGCGGACCCTGCCACTGGGGTCTTCGGTGGAGCTCCCTATGGGGCCGCGAACCGCGTGCGGGGTGCCGACATGGGGCGGCGGCGCCATGCGGACCGTGCAACTGGGGCCTTCGGTGGAGCTCCATATGGAGCCACGAACCGTGTGACAGGTGTGCCGACATGGGGTGGCGGTGCCATGCGGACCCTGCCACTGGTGCCTTCGGTTGAGCTCCCTGTGGGGCCACAAACCGTGTGACAGACGTGCCGAAATGGGGCGCCGGTGCCATGCGGACCCTGCCATGTGGGCCCTCGGTAGAGTTCCCTATGGGGCAACGAACCATGCGAGCGGTATACCGAAATGGTGCGGCAATGCCATGATGACCCTGCCACGCGGGCTTTCGGTGGAGTTCCCCCATGGGGCCACGAACCGTGTGAGGGGTGAGTCGAAATGGGGCGGCGGTGCCTTGCGGACCCTGCCACGCGGGCTTTCGGTGGAGTTCCCCCATGGGGCCACGAACCATGTGAGGGGTGAGTCGAAATGGGGCGGCGGTGCCTTGCGGACCCTGCCATGTGGGCCTTCGGTGGAGCTCCCTATGGGGCCACGAACCGTGTGAGGGGTGTGCCGAAATGGGGCGGCGGTGTCATGCGGACCCTGCCGCTGGGGTTTTCGCTGGAGTTCCCTATGGAGCCGCGAACCGCGCGAGGGGTGTGCCAAAATGGGGCGGCGGTACCATGCGGACCCTGTCACTGGGGCCTCCGGTGGAGCTCCCTATGGGGCCGCGAACGGCGGACGGGGTGTGCCGACATGGTGTGGCGGTGCCATGCGGACCTGCCACTGGGGCCTTCGGTGGAGCTCCATATGGGGCCACGCGCCGCGTGAAGGGTGTGCCGAAATGGGGCGGCGGTGCCACGCGGACCCTGCCACTCGCGCCGCATGTCGAACTCATCCGAACGCCCTTTTGCGCGCGCATGGGGGGACGGAAGGCAAGATCCGCGTCAAATAATACCACGCGGTTCATTCGCGCGCGTCGGCCGCGCGCGCATGTCGGACTTTTTCCAAAACCTGCATCACCGACGCGAGGACATCGTCATCGTTATCGGCGGGCGCGATCAATATCGGCGCCGCCATTGGCCTTGCCGTCGTCATCGCCGCCATCGCCACCATCATCGCTACTCGCATCATCACGTCTACCGTTGTCGGCGTCTCCATGATACCGCGCCCGCCCAAATCACCGACTCGCGCTGAAGTGCCAACTGGAAAGCGCCAAGCGGTTAGCGCCACCGCGGCCGCGTCGGTCGCGCCGCACTTGCTGGTCGCTGCGCGCGCGAACATGCGCAGGCTAGCGCGGCCGCAAAGATGCACCAGCCAACGCCAAGCATTCATCGCAATCGCCGCCGCATGGGTTTTGCAAACCAAGTTGCGGGTGGGTGGGCTGGATGTGCTCAAGGCGTGGGATGTGACAACTCACTCGCACCACATAGCCTGCACCACGCCGACTACACCACATAGATTGCACAACGCAGTTCACATCACGCTGCGATACGCGAACTGCACCACATAACCCGCGCACCGCACGGATTCTCCCCTATGCTCAGTGGCAAAGAAGATCAGGATCTACCTCCACCACTCTCCCCACCCCACACCACCACACCACCCCGGACTTCACGATCCACTGTTTCGCATCGCCATTGACAGATGATCTGCCCCATCGCCCATCCGAAACATGAACTCAAACCATCCGGGCCAGGCCAGAATTCCACCCCCCACCTTAAACCCTCAACAAGAAATACGACACGCGCACACTCGTCTACTTAAAAACATCAGTGTCTAATTTCTGCGAGAGGGAAGGGGGGAAAGAGAGAGAGAGAGAGACGCGAGCGCTGTCGCGCGCACATGCCTGAGGATTCACAAGAACCGAGAATCACGAAAACATATAACAACATTCTGCTTCGCAACATTATTTCTTCAAAAAGAAAAATGCGCCCGCGCCCCTGCGAATTCTTCAGAAAACGATGTTTTTCAAAAATGTGTAAGCTGCTACCAAACAGGCCTCTCAGGCGCGCGCATGTCGAAATGTTTCAAACACCTTCGCGCGCGTACTGTCGCAATAATCCCACGCAACAAACGGGATGAAGATGGCGCGCTCGTCGTCGCACGCGCATGCCGAAATCCGCGACAGCGAGGCAGGTTTCGTAAACATGTCCCCCCCCCACAAAAAAAAAACAAAAAAAAAAAAAAAAAAAAAAAAAAAAAAAAAAAAAAAAAAAAAAAAAAACAAAAAAAAAACGATCACGGCCCTGTGGATGTTTAAGAGAACCATGGGTTTTTTGTTGACAACATGTTCATCTATTTCTGCCAAGCGTTTCTCTCGCGCCAAATGTCGAACGCATTCGAGCGCCCTTGCGCGCGCGCTGGCGGAGGGGGCACGATCCGAACCCCCCCGGACTTATCGGGCACCCTCTTCGCATTGCAATGTGCATTTGATCCTGCACCGTCGCCCACCCTAGATACGAATTCACATCGCCCCGGCCAAACCGGCAACGCCCCCCCCCTCCTCATTCTCTGCAAACAATAATACAGAATACGTAAGGCACGCGCGCGCGTCGTCGCGCGCGCACGCCGACATCCTTCAGAAACCTTAAGTCGTCGTAGGCACTTCAAAATTGAGCGCCCCGAAAGCATGGAAAAACGCATGGTTTCCCAACAAGAACGTCCAGGAAGAAGTTGCGCTCGCGCTCTCGTGCGCTCTGGCGCATTCGCAAGAAAACCATCGGTTTGCAAAATGTTCATGATACGCTACAAAACGGGCGCCGACATCCTTCACATACCTAAAACTTGGCAAAACCAAAACAAAACAAAACAAAAAAAAAATCGGAGTGGCGCGCCCCGAATACATGCGAACATCCATCGTGTTGCAACATCCACTTTTTACTTAAATGCATCTATACTTATTTAGGTTCGTTTGCACCCCCCTAGTAAAAAACTGCCCTCGTGCTTTTGCGATTGCCGAGGGAAGCCCTGCGTTCTTCAAGAAGCTTATCACATTGGCACCAAGCGGGCCTCCCGCCGCACGCCGAAAGCACTCGAACGCCCCCGCGCGCGCGCCCGGGGGGGGGCACGACCCGCGCCGCTGTCATCATCGTCACCAGCATCGCAACTGTTATCATCGCGTCTACCGTTGTCGACGTTGCCACGATACCTCGCCCACCCAAATCGCCGACTCGCACTGAAGTGCCCGCTGGGAAATCCCGGCGGTCAGCGCCACCACGGCCGCGTCGGACACGCCAAACTAGCAGGCCGCCGCGCGCGCGAGCACGTGCGGGCCAGCGCGGCCGCAGAGATGCGCCGGCCAACGCCAAGCACTCATCGCAATTGCCGCCGCGCGGGAGTTGCAAACCCCAATTGCGGGCGGGCGGGCGGGGCGATTGCGCGAGCAGTGAAGTTGGCAACTCGCTGCGAACAGAAAGTAATCCCACCAGCCCTCTGGGCGTCGGTGGTTTAGGGCGTTTCCTCTTCCACCCCTCCCTCTTCCCCTTCGGGGAGGGGTTTACCCCTCCCCCTACCCCCTCCCCACTGACCTGGACAGGAGGGGCGGGGAGCGGTCAGAGCGTCCAAAACGGCCTCGGCGAGGAAGCCAAAATCATTGATTTTACTATGGTTTTGGCCCCATTTTGGCCTTCTGAGGGGGCAGGGCTAATTAAAGCTCCCCTCTTCTTTGATCGATTTCCTCCACGATGGCCGCAAGAGGCCCCCAGGATGCCCCAAGAGGCCGCAGGATGGCCCCAAGATGGCCCCAAGAGGCCCCCCAAGAGGCCCCCAGGAGGCCCCCAAGAGACCCCCAAGAGGCCCCAAGAGACCCCCCAGAGGCACCCAAGGTGCTCCCAGAGGCCTCGGCGATAATGTCAAACCATTGTTTGCACTAAGGTTTTAGCCACATGTTGGCCTCTTGGGGGGGGGCACTGATTAAGATGACTCCAAGAGCGCCTCGGAGAGCCCAAAATGACCTCCAAGATGGCTCAAGAAATCCCAAGATGTCTCATACTGGCTTCCTCTGTGTGCTGTCCACTTCCCTGATCGAGGCAATCCCACCAGCCCTCTGGGCGTCGGTGGTTTAAGGCGTTTCCTCTTCCACCCCTCCCTCTTTCCCTTCGGGGAGGGGTTTACCCCTCCCCCTACCCCCTCCCCGTGGACCTGGACGGGGGGGGCCGCGAGCGGTCAGAGCGTCCAAAACGGCCTCGGCGAGGAAGCCAAAATCATTGATTTTACTGAGATTTTGGCCCCGCTTTGGCCTCCTGAGGGGGCAAAGATGGCCCCAAGAAGCGCCCAGGAGGCCCCCACAGGCCCCAAGATGGCCCCCATAGGCCCCAAGAGGCCCCCAGGAGGCCCCAAAGAGGATCCCGAACGGCCCACAGAGGCCCCCCTCGGGGCACCCAAGACGCCGAAAAGCCCCTCAGGACGACCCTTTACTCGCCTGGGCGTCGTTTCTGGACGGGCTGGTGGGGATACGCGAAGCGTCTAGAATTCCCGTTTCCAAAAGAGCATTAGAATCCCCCCCCTCGGGGCTTGTCGCATTGCCATTTACGAATGATCCAGCCCCACCGCCCATCTTGCACTGGGCTTCGGTGACGGTAAATTGCTCTCCGCTGTGTTGTGGGATGTGTCCACGTCCCAGGTGACCATGATGTCGCTGGCAGTTGTGATCGTACCGATGGCGTTGTAGGAATATACCAGTGCTGGCCCCGAGTGCTCGAGGTCCCCTAGGTTTTCAGGCCATGCTGGTAGACTGAAGGCCCCTGATCTAAGCTTGAGCTCATTGAGAGCAAGAGGTAGTTTCACTGAGCCCCGAGAGGTTCAGGTCCATGGTCTCCTCGCTGGCACACTACTCAAATTGTACTTGGCCGTCGTTCGGACCGCTCTGATCTGCCTGTAGCCTGGCAATGGTTCATCCTCCTGATCCTCCTCCTCCTCCTGATCATCATCAACATCATCATCAGCATCATCATCATCAATCATCATCATCAGCAGCAGCAGCGGCATCATCATCATCATCATCATCATCATCATCATCATCATCATCATCATCATCATCATCATCAATCATCATCATCATCATCATCATCATCATCATCATCATCATCATCATCATCATCATCATCATCATCATCATCATCATCGTCGTCATCATTCTTAATCATCATGTTCATCATCATCATCATCATCATCGTCGTCGTCGTCGTCGTCAGCAGCAGCAGCATCATCATCATCGTCATCATTATCATCACCACCACCATCAGTATCAGAATCATCAGAATCGTCATCATCCTAGACACCAGCATCATCAGCATCATCAGCATCAATTTCATCAGTATCATCAGTATCATCATCAGCATCATCATCAGCATCATCAGCATCATCATCATAATCATCATCTTCATCATCATCAACATCAGCATCACCACCACCATCACCATCATCATCAGCAGCATCATCATCACCACCACCATCATCCTCGTCATCATCAGCATCATCACCAGCAGCATCAGCATCATCATCGCCATCATCATCATCATCATCAGCATCATCATCATCATCATCATCATCATCATCATCATCATCATCATCATCATCATCATCATCATCATCATCCTTGCAATTACTGTCTTAAGCAACCCTTTCTTTACTCTCCCCCCATCCTGCCTGAACTTTATTTGGAAGCCCTCCCCCGAGGCGCCAAAAGTAGCGAAAACCTCTGGACCACTGTTCCTCAGGGCCCTCTGCCCTCGTTCGGCTGCTGCCAAAAGTGACCCTGGCCCGAGGCGACCCCAGCGTCTCCTGAGAGGCCCAGGTGGCTTCCAGAGACCCCTCGCGGCCCCAAGGGGCTCCAGAAAGACGCGAAAGGCTGGAGGGCACCTCTGGAGGCCTCCCAAGTGAGGTCCGAGCAAGCGGAGTCAGAGGATGGTGCCATATCGCCGATGCGTCGGCGATGCGGCGCGATCCTCCGACTCCAGATGCTCCAGCCCCGTTGTCGGGTGCTGCTAGAAGTGTCCCTGGCCCAAAGTGCCCCCAGGATTTCCAGTGAGGCCCCCATACGGCCTCCAGAGCACCCCTCTGGAAGCCCAGCGGGCCCCGCGGGCTCCAGGATGGAGCGAAGAGCTGGGGGCAGACCTCTCCCAGAGCGCGCTCTGACCAACATCTCGCGATGGACCCCGCCGCGGCGACGATGACTCTCCAGGACGAGCTGCGGGATCGTTGCCGTCGCCTCCCCTGGGACCTGCTGCTCCCCAGACCTCTCCCAGGGTGCGCTCGGACCAGCACTTCGCGGTGCGCACCGCCGCGGCTTCAGGACGAGCCGCGGGAGCGGTGCCTCCGCCTCCCCCGGGACAGTGTGGCGCCCCCTGGGGTTAGATCGGGCATGTCCGCCTACAGGGGGGCTTTGCACGCCCAAAAAAAAGGACAAAGATGCTCCAAGATGGTCGCCAAAATCGTCCCCCTGTTGATTTGTGGACCCTCTTCGAGTCTTCCTCCTGCAGAGGGACGGGCCCGACATAACCTTGGGGCCCGAGGGCCTGCAGACCACACCTCTGCCAGGCCTCCGGCGCGGGTCGGCGGCGCTCTCCCCACGCGGCGCGGGGCGCGCGCCGCCCTCTCGGGGCGACCTGGCCGCCGGCCCGCGGGGCCGCGGCGCGGCGGGCACGCCGGGGGCGAGGCCGCCGGCGAGGCGCGGGCAGCCGGCGCGTGCCTGGGCGCGGCCGGGATCTGCGGGCCCCGAGCATAGACACCACCGCCACGTCGATTCCTCCTCCTCCTCCTCCTCCTCCTCCTCCTCCGCTCCCTCCTCCTCCTCCTCCTCCTCCTCCTCCTCCTCCTCCTCCTCCTCTCCCTCCTCCTCCTCCTCCTCCTCCTCCTCCGCCTCCTCCGCCTCCGCCTCCTCCTCTTCCTCCTCCTCCTCTGCCCTCTTCTTCCTTCTGTTCTTTCGAGAGGGACACGGCTCCACGGAGCTGCCCTGGGACTTCCTGGTGCACAGAAGAGAGACGTGCAACTCATGCCTTCACTCCCGTGATCCAACGCACTGCTTCCAGGGTGGCCCTTTGCGAGGCGATGGCCTCAGCCAGGAAGAACGTATAGGCTCTGCGAAATAAGTACCGGCCGCGGGAGGGTAAAGGGGGGTCAGGCTACCCCAGGCCACAAGCCGTGTCGCTCACTCCCACCCACCCTCCCAACACCTGGGCGGCAGCCGAGCCTGGGGCGCCGATCACACCGAGCTCACGAGTCCCGTCGGAACACACAAAGCAAACACCATG